AAAACAAAACTCGGTGCGGTGAGGCGCTTTTTACTTTTCACTCGATCGGGTTAGAGAGAAAGTTGGCGGCGCTGCCGCCGGCCCCGGGCGGCGCGTGCGGAGAGGGGAAGCTCCCGCCGAGAGGGGCCTGTGCCCGCGCCCCGGCAGGGCTCCCGCCGCGGCGGCGCTGAGGGGAGCGACAGCGGCACGGCGGCCGGGCGGCTGTGACGCGGGCACACGAGGGGAACACACCGCGCGCCCAGGCGGACACACACAGGCAGACACACCGTGTGCACAGGCGGACACATCACGCGCACAGGTGGACACACTGTGCACACAGGCAGACACACACAGGCAGACACACCGCACATACAGGCGGACACGTGGGCAGACACCCCACACACGCAGGTGGACACACCGTGCACACACACGTGGGCCGCCACCGTGCCCGGCAGCGATGGGCGCCACGTGGCAGCGATCCCGCGCCACGGGACGGAGGGTTAACGCAGCCCCGCGGGAGCCCCCGGCCCCTCCAGAGCGCTGCCCCAACCTCTGGTTAGCGGCAGCAAGGCAGCGCAAGGTGCCACGGGTTCTGTACGTGAGGCCGCATCAGAGCTGCGAGGCCACCCGTAACTGCGTGTCCGTGTCCATCCAGGCCGTGGGCAAGGTGGAAGGGGCGGCTCTGCTCCACGCGGCCAGAGCGCCCCGTGTTCGTCACCAAGCCCTCGTCCCCAGCCTCTCATGGGGCATGAAGAGCCACCAGGGGCACCACGGCTACGTGCAGGACTCTGGCTTAGGCACCTCCCAACAGGAATGCCGGCCCTCAGAGAAGTCGCAGTGGATTCCCAGTCTCTAAGCACGGAAACGCACCAGAGGAACCACGGCATCCACTCGGCAGCACCGCTACCCACGGCACGGAAAGCACCTCAGCACTGCAGGGATATACGGCAATGCAAAGCTGTTGAAAACACCCATGGCACAACACGGCACAAAAAGGAGTTTCTCACCCAGGCCTAAGCATTTCTAGACATGTGCCTGTCCTCTGCTAGGACTAAGGCCCCTGTTATCTTGACTGTTATATAAAATACTCAAAGACACCAGCAGTGTTCGTACTCAGGGCTAAGCAACTCTGCTCTGTCTACTCTGTCTTTACTCTGCTCCTGCTCCTCTGCTCTGTCTTTACTCTGCTCCTGCAAAATACCCATGGTAAGTCAAAAATGAAGCCTGAAAGCAGAGAAAACACATGAGAACTAGACTTTTCTTTAAATAAAAAAGGAGATTTTGGTGGCAGGTGTAGCAACATTTCTAATTAAAATCCCATGCTGTCTGCCAAGTAGCATGAAAAAAAACCATTTCCTTAAGCTATGACCAAGGCTATGACTTGGGGCAGCTGGACTGGATTTGATAATGAGAGACCCAAGTGTCTGGTGAAGAGATGTTTGAAGGCAAGGGACTTCACCTGCAGAAATCTGATTTCCTTGTTAATCCAACTGAGTGTCCTGACCTTTGGGTGCAGGTTTAAAAAAAGATACATATTTTTCCCAGTCTGTGGTGGTAGGCGGATGACAGACATCTAATCATCAAAATCTGCATCTTAAAATTTTACATTATCTACATCTGCTTACAGACGGTTGCAGGGCAGAGTTAAAGAAACCTTACTAAAAAAGAAAAGAGAGGGTAAAATATGTGTACATATTCTGAGGAACTCATACCTAGAGATTAATGTTGTGTGTGCAGGATTTTCTGAATCTGAGTTCTGGAGTTTTTTGGAGCAAAGCACTGAGAGTCTCGTGCAGAATCCAGCAGCACAAATTAAGACAAACCTTGATGCGCAGCCCTGCGTGTTATTTTTGCCCCTTTTAAAGGGAAAACGGTGACAAGAGCAATCTGCTCCATTGGAACAAGGGGGAAACCTCCTCTCCATCAGTGCATCAAGGTGTAGGATTTTTATGGAGAGCAATCACATCGCTCGGCAGCTCAGTAACATTAGAAAATGCAGACAATGGTGAAACAAAAGCGGGAAAGGGTACTTGCATGCTAGATATGGTATAGCCCAGGCAAAGCCAGAGCAGTAGCACTGTTTTAGCTAGTGCAGTCTCAAGTGCTCTCTCCGGCCGGGCTGACTAACCCAGGAGAAGTGGGTTCCCCCGGCGCCGTCGCTCGCAGGGTGGGAGCAGAGCTGGTGAAGGGGGAAGCTGGGCACTGGTTTGGGAGCGACACCAGGACACCAGTGGGGCAGCTGCAGGTGGGGTGCCACGTGCGGCTCCCCGGCACCGGCCGCGCGCTCAGAAGCCTCGGCACCACCAGCAAAACCCAAACAGACGAGGAAACCCTGTGATACAACTGCTTTTCCATCTGTGCACGTGTTTTCAGGTTAATTTGGTGCTCAAATACGGTTTTAGTGTGGGAAACAGAGACTTCTGATTAGGCACAGTACAAGCAGGAGAGGAAAACATCCTGCACACGCCTCTGCCATGTGCTTCAGCTGCAGACAGGGAAAGAGAGAGGGATTTTTTCCTTTTTTTCCCCATTTGTGTCCACTCAGCTTCTGGCTGCCTTTTCAAGTCTGCTGCAAAGGAGGTCATTTTTAAAGCTAAAGGGATTTTAATAAGGAAGTTGCAAAGTGGCCAATTACAAGCATTTCCAAAATCGCTAGAAAGGTCCATAAAAATGTGAATAAGGGTTCAAAGTGACAAGGGAATTGTGTTAAGTAGGACTAATAAATGATGGGTTGCTTCTTGTCGCTTGCTTGCTACTGAGTTGTTATATCTCCTGTTTTCAGGTTTTCTTTCCCTGTGATCAGCACTAGAAACACACTTTCAAAGAGATCCCAAATTCTCAGGTAGCCAGATGATTTCTCCTATGGAGAGTTTTATTGCAACTGCATACAGTTGCAATACACTGTATTGCAAGGGCTATAATATAATAGCAAGGCTCACTGATAGTAGTTTTTCTTGACAATTCTTCTCTGTTGCCCACCATTTCACTGTTATTTTCACCAATATCCTTTATCATAGGAAAAAAGAAAGAAAGAAAAAAAAGAACAAAAATCTACTGCCTTAAAAAACTGAGTTCCTATGTGCTTTATTTTTTTCTGTTTCAGTAGATCTTTTCTTTTTGTTTTGAGGCCTGTATGTTATATCACAGCAAATGAAAGAAGTTATATGTCCTATGCGGGTTTATCTCTAATAAAACCTCTCCACTTCCAAAATATGCCAGTACTTCTATTTATGTATTTTTTTAAGTAATACTATGATTTGTAATAAATACCTAGTGTTAGTAAGCACTGAAGGCCAACTGAGTAGAGCGAGTGCTGTGGTTGGCCTCAGTGTCCTGGCCTGATTAGTCACTAAACTGCATAATACGAATTTATTACTCCAGTGGAAAAACAAGGGCAGGATGCCAGCCTTCGTGAGCAACAAGTCAGTGTTTTTCAGGAAGAAAAAAACACAAACCAAAACAAAACATGACCAACACAACCCTTCCTTCTTTTAACCTCGACGGCCCCTCCCTCTGCAATCCAGGCTGCCAGCGGTTTTCAAGGAATTTCTACTTCTGCTTTCTTGTTCCTTAACAGCGAGGGGCCGGCGGCGCTCGGAGCGCGAGCGCCGTGCCGCCCTTGAATTCCCCCGCTGGGCGCTGGGAGCAGATGTCCTTATAGAGCCCGCTCCGGGCCCGGTCCCGGGGCCAGCGCCACTTTCCATTCCCGGGATTCCCCGGAGCTTTTCCTGGCTGAGGTTATCGGATCAGCTGCTGGTCGCCGGAGCGCAGGGAGGGACACAGCTGAGGACAGCAGCGCCACACGCAGCGAGCGGCCGCTCCGGGCTCCCCCGGCCGCGGTGCTCGCAGCCCCCTGAGGTGCCCTGTCCACACGGGCCTCCAGGGACTCCTCCCACAGCCCCTTGAGGTGCCCTGTCCACACGGGGCTCCAGGGGCTCCTCCCGCAGCCCCTCAAGGTGCCCTCTCCCTGTGGAGCTCCAGGGGCTCCTCCCGCAGCCCCTTGAGGTGCCCTGTCCACACGGGGCTCCAGGGGCTCCTCCCGCAGCCCCTCGAGGCGCCCTCTCCCTCTCCGTGTGAGGCTCCAGAAGCTTCTCCCGCCCACATGGCCACCCCACAGGGCTGGTGCTGCTCGTGGGGGCAGAGAGTCAAACCAGCCTCGGGGATGCTCTGAGGGGCCTGGGAGGAATCAGCCGTGGTGCTGAGCACAGGCACACGGGCACAGCACCTCTCCCATCTTGGAAGGACAAATCTAAGTGTGCAACGTGCACCGGCACATACTGTCTGGATTAAGGAAGCAGGAAGGGGCCTTGAGCCCCTTCAATCCCCTCTGTCCCCAGCAAAGCCGTGCGTGGCTTTCCCCACCCTGCTAGGGCATTTGCACAGCTCTTTCCACACCAACAGTGGCATTTCCTGCAGGCGCGAAGCCCGTGCAAACACGCCGCCTGGCAATGCCCGTGCCTTGCCTTTTCTGAGCGGCAAACACGCGGGAGGCACTGGGATCCCACAGCACGAGCCAGCTACAAAGCAGGAGGCTCCCGAGGGCGGCCCTGCTGGGGACAATCCCTGGAAACTGTTCTGGGAAGCCCAGCAGATACTGGGTCTATAATAGAGAAACCCTGCAGCCCAGGGGGCAGAGGTTGGCCTCGGATCTTGCAGGAAGCACCAGCATGGATATGTGCACGCCAAAGCATCCAGTTGGGGAAAAAACCCTTCATAACTGGAGGTTGAGGGTGGTGGTGGTGAAGAAGCTGTTTTAACTCCTTTTTGCTAAGGTTTACTATGGAAGCAGAACACTTAGGAAAGCTTTCAAAATGACAATCATCATTTAAAGTGGAAAAGCCACTAAAAATACTTCAGTAGCAATTTATTCCCAATCTAATGTTTGCTGTTGGATTACAGCTTTTATGCTATTTTTCTAAAGTATGCTGTTTGCTGCCTCCATCTTGCCTCCCCAAAACCCTTTTTTCTTTTTTTCCCCCTTTTTTCTCTTTAAAAAGAAAGGAATGTGAATCATGACTTACATGTAACTTCTCTAGGTTCTGTGCTGGCTAAAACGTTCTCACGATGCAGGGAATGGGATCAATGGAGAAGCTAAGAGGCTACAGCAATCCATCAAGAAGTGGCCCTCCAAAGCTCTGCAGGGCAAAGTTCTGGCAACTCGGTCGATTATCAACCTAAAATAAAATGAAGCCAGGTATTAAAACTCAAGCATCAAATCAAAACCTCCTTCCCCCACTTCTCATTCTAGAATGAACTTGTCTTTTTTTTCAACATAGAAAGTCTTTATAGACCAACATTAAAACCACGTGCAGCCTATGGAGCTCCATAGCTCATCTTACCTTTAAATTGTAAACTGCTGACGATGAAGACTGTATTTTTTCATTTGTACAGCACCTACACAAATAGGGTCCCCGTAAAGAATCATAAAATAAACTACTATTTCTGCAATCACTCTAACAGATTGTACTGTAAGTATGTGCACACTCTGTGTGTGTATGAATGAAACTCCACTCACACCACCAAGGTGTTTCAACAAAACTACCCAAACGGTCCAACAGACTTTAGGTAACAATTAACACCGGCTGTTGTCAAAGCTTAGCTTTGATTTCATCAAGAACTTTCAATCAGGACTGAAATGAAATTAGGATTTTCCCTTTTCCATCCCCAACGGATGCAATGTGTGCCGGGCAGCTCCATCCGCCCAAAGGGAAAGCCAAACTCATGCGATCCGGTGTCAAGAGGAAATCAGAGCAGGAATAAGGAGCAGCCAGCCTGAATCACATGGAAAGGGCTCGCGAGGGAGCGTTCCCGCTCTGCCGGCGGCGGGGACACGTGTGGGAAGGAAGCGCTTGCAGAAGGAGAAATAAGGAATTCTAAGCTAGGGCGATATTTGATTTGAATTCGCTGGTACCCAGAGTTTCACATTACTCTCTTCCTGGGGTAAAAAAAAAGAAACACTTGAACACTTAAATACTATTTACACGAATAAAGTCAGTGAATTGGGAGAGACAAATGAGGGTGATTTTCTTTCTAACAGAAGGGGACAGCAGCAGAGCAAGAAGTGGCATGGACACATCTCACAGCTTTGCAGGGTCACGGCAAGGGCTGCATTTGCAGAGCTACCACCAAAGGGGAAAAAAAAAGAAAGCTACATAAAGAAATGGAGGAAGTAAGGAGCAGGAAATTGCAAAAGAACATTTAATCTTTTTAAAAAAACTACTATTATTTTTCAGAAATTTGCAAAGTGCACTTTCCAGTTAAAACTTTGGATTGCTACCTCCATAAACAAGGTAAAAATCATGAAAAAGGACTATTTTTTTAATATGCAGCTCAAGGTAGAATAACATTTAAACAAAAAAAGCTCCCTCCTTTTTTTCCTGAGTGTTGCTATTACGGCATTTTACTCTAAGCCTTGTAAACAGCATCATTTAGGAAGAGTAGACTATTTCTTCTGGATGGCACCCTGCTAGATGATTTATTAACAGATGCTCAGAATTCTGCTACATTTAAGCATTATATGTACATATACTTAAGAAGAATCATGAGACTATTCAAAAAATGCAATGCTTGTGTCTCTTTAATTTGTATTTATATATATATATATATATATATATATGTATATATGTTTTTCCAAGTGGGCACAATGTTCACTGAAGGACTGTATGAGGACAAAATACCCAAAATCTTTATGGTTATAAATATACATTATATAAATCGCTTATAAAACTAAAAATACCCCCCCTAAGTCCATTCAGTCATAAATCATTAGTAAAACAAAAATAACTGTTGTTTACTTGATAGCCAAAGGGATAAAAACAGGGAAGCCTTTGCTTTTTCAAGTACAAGCTCCACTTCTGAGCTAAAACTGCACTTGCTGTAGCATAGCTGAAAGAAAACAGAATAAACTATTCAGGGAATAGGAAAACAAAAACAACAACAAAAAAGGAGTGGGATGGACTTTCAGTGCCACGCTTTTCTGAGAAGGTCTGATTGATGTTCACTGCTGTAGAAAGCATGAGGCCACCTCCCAAACATTTCATTCCCTTCTGCAAATGTCTTGCTCTATTTCTCTCCCCATGTTCTCTAGATATCCTTGCCCTACACAGGATGATCCAGAGAGCATCAGGTTTTACACATGATCTAAAACATGAAAGCAGGAATCTCTCTGCCCAGGGGTCAGCTTAGGGGAGAATGAAACCTAACGCCTTGCCTATGCTCGACATCTAGGCTATTTCGTACTTCCCATTTTTATAAAGAGTTTTCTTTGTGGAACACGCGAATTATTTAAAACACAAGTGTTGCTACAGCTGTAAACTTGCAGAGAACATACGAAAAATGAGCTTCTAGGAGCCACAACTGCATGTAGTGAAGAACAGCCCAGGCATTTGCACAGCCTCCCTGGCTCGGCTTACAGCCTAGGAAGAGCTGTATCCTGTGAAGAGGGAGACGTCCTCTCCACCCAAGCACAAAGTCCTTGGGCAACACTTACCCGAAGAGCCTGCGGAGTGCAGGGCAGCTTCATCTCTAACTCCAACAGAAGCTTCTGCCCTCACAACTGTAGGGAAGACTAAATAAATATACTTCAAACCTGATGTTCTAAACTTTTTTTTAAACTATGTTTTGCAACAACATCTTGTACGTTTTTGAACTTTGCTATCTGTTTTGCATTTTTTTTTTTTTTTAATTTTGGAGTGTGTACAGGAGTGTGTTGGAGGGTTCATGGAGGAACGAAAGGTAATGGCAGATGCATGCCGGGCACCACAGTGGCCGGAAGGAGAAGCATCTGCTTCAAGAAAACATCTAAATCTAGTGGTTTAATTTTTTTAATATCGTGGGTGTGTTTCAAAGAGAGCTTATGTTGTTGCTGTTAATGAAAAATAACAGCACCTTTGATGCTTCGGAGGAGGAGAACAGAGGCCCTGGAGCCTGCGATGAACAAAACAACGAGGCGGAGGCTTTGGGCAGCGCGAGACGAGCGTCGCTTGGGCCTCTGGGGCTCGCACCAAGGCTCCTTCAGGCCACAAGGCCCGTGCGACCCTGCCCGTGAAAGCAGAGCGGTCAGGGAGGCGACACGGGCACCGCTGCCTTGGCCGACACATCTGCGTTCAAACCCTCCGCAGCCCAAGGCCTAGGCAAAACAAGCGCACGCGCCGAGATGGGCCGGCGTGCTGCCTGCCGACACGGAGAGACACAAAACACACACTCGAGAGAGGCAGAGCAGCAGGCAACAGGAAGACGTGAGCACAGATGTGTAAACAAGAACTCGTGTTTTCTCAAGTTGTGCCTCGCTTGAATAGAGCTTAATGTTTGCTACCCCAAAGCGAGCAGAAACAAGCTGCAAAAGTCTCGGATCCCAGGCTGTTACAGGCAGTACTGTCACAGATTAGCAAGCATGTTTTCTTTACGTTTCATATGTTTTCAAGTGAAGCTGAAGAATATTGCTTTCTGGTTGAAGCTGCTTCATTATAACATTTGTAGTTTGCAAGCGCTTGAAGCGTTGCCTGAGGCTGGGAAGGTATTTGTGCTGCTCCTGCCATGTAGCGCAGAATCCCGCCCTGAAATCGGGAAATTAAACCCACAACGATGGCGGCATCTGATGCCGGAGAGAACACACAGCCTGCTTCACCTGTGAAGGCATCGGATTTTGCTCTAATGCCCTTCTTGGTTCTTGATTTGGCTGTTTCTGGGCTAGCTGGGTAAGGGCTCAACTACGATGCAATTTATCTGTTATTTAGATACTGATTAAAACATTCAAAGAATTAGCTTGGCTAGAAACCATGACTAAACTCATCAGAAAATGCACTCAGAAAATAACGAGAGCGCAGCTCCTTTTGCTCTTCACTGATCAGGGAATTGTTCAAGACCGCCTGGGAACTGGATTTTCCTTAATGATGCTTAGGTCCGAAAGGGAAAACCTTCAGAGCACTGGGGGGATGTGTGAGGGGGAAGTTTCCCACCTTCTCACGTCCCCTGGTTATAATTAATTTTATGACACTTCAATCAGGCTGGGCTAGGAGAGGTGGGAATAGTGTTAGGTGAGACTAGTTCAAGATCTGCACTGCATTAACTTGTAAACCATCTTGTGTGAAATCTGAATTACTTCAACATAGGAATGAATATTCTTAAATTAAAATAACGCCGCCTTCAAATATATTTTTCCTTGGTAAAACAACTCTTGAAAGAATAGCTAGAGTTAAAAGGAAAGTTTATATATTCTGCAAGAAGGACCCCACATAAAACTAAGCACGTATTACCAAATGACATAAACCAAACATTTGTATCTACTGTAGTAGAGAGTACTAGAAAAACAATATACAGCAAAATCTAGTACTTTGGGTCAAATCTGATGATAATTCAGATGTCTGGTGTATTCCTCTGTAAGGACTACAGCCTTTGGATAATAAACACACAAACAAGATGCAATCAAACGGTTTGGCAGCAAGGAAGAAACCACCAACATTCAGGAGCTGTCCCTTGCCTTGACACCCAGCCTGCTATCCCGGGAAGCGATCCCGGAGCTCCCGGCGCTGCCGGGGAAGGACGTGGGGTGCGTGGGGCTCCTGCCCCAGCGCGTGTCTACCGTGAGAGCGGCCAGGAGGCTCCACCAGCAGCGCTGAGGCACCAGCAGCCAGAGCTCCACTGCTGATTTCTCTTTAAAAATGCAAATCAAGGAAACTCAGCTCAAACACAGAATGAAAGAGCAGGTCACCGGCAACCACAAAAATTCCCCATAAGGTTCAGCATGTGGGAAACAGATAAGCAAACGCTGCGAAAGATGAACAATATTTAAGTATTAACACAAATGGCTTTTTTTGGGAAGGTTTATCTGGCATCTCTATCATTTTTCCTCAAAGCTCTAATAGCAAAAATAACTATGTTGAAATCCAACTGGGAAACATTGCAACAGCTCAAAACTACTGCCTTTCTGCCTCCTGTAGAAAAATACCTTTTCTTTCTACACAATAAAAAACAACTGCTACTTTGTCTTTTGACATACTGACTTTCAGGTAACTTCAGACCAGGGTGAAATCAGATAAACATTTGCCAGTTCAACAAGTTCAGTTGGCCGTCTAATTTTCATTAGCCCTTGCAGTGAAGACAGATGCATTTAGCACTAGGTCAGGAGAAATAAATAAAGTCTTTCTCCGAGACGGACATCTGGTTCCCGGCACTC